ATTTAGAATCCTTAGAGGTATTTTTATGGCCATTAAGTCTAGTGAAGTCACTGAGTGGAAGGGGGCCCTCTTAGTGTGGTCTCCTTTCATGTCACTTGGTTCAGAAAATGTGACAAAAGAGAGATCTGCTTCTTAGAAGAGAAGGGAATTTGCTTAGGTTTGGCCAAAGGAGACTTTCAGACCATTAGCTGAGTTAGGTCAATTCTTCAGGTTTGGGTTAGGGTTTCACACAGAGTCCCTTACCATTGGGTAACTGAAGCAGGACACCCGGGCTAGCCCAGCTGCATCTTCTCTCTGTAGAAGAAACCACACCGGGAAGGAAAAAGGGATGTGTTTTAGGCCCAGACTTAAAAGCTAGAATCGGGAAATCTCTCAAGCTTGTTCCACATCAACGCATGCCCCAGGACGTGAGTGCTCCGGGCTGGTCTGATGGAGCAAGTGATTTGATGACTGAGTTATTAATTTAGAATTGCTTCCCTGTGAAGAAATCAATACACAAACGTCCTTGCAAACTTTTGGTATATTGATTAATTAAACAAGGAATCAACACTAATTGAGTACTTTCTTAGTGTCACAGGGTGAGATAATGAAATTGTGTGACACAAACAAACCATGGCCGCGGGAGCTTGTGGTCTCGGGGAGAAAGACGAGAAAATAATGATCAGAAGCGGGTGTTCTGAGCAGTGCGTGGATCTCTGGGCAAGGAAGAGAGAAGGGTGAATGCAGGGACTTCCTGAGGCACGCTTCTGGCCTGTCTGAGGGACAACGAACGGCTTGTGCTCTGAGAGCAGACAAGAGCTATGGGATGTTTGTGGGTAGAGCGGGGGAGTTTCTGTCACCTATGATGATGAGGTAATGGCTTGTGGAGCCCTGTCCTTCTTCCTCAGATGACAATCTTTTTGAATCAATGAATATCTTAGTTTAAGAGTTTTTTTTTTTTCCTAAAGAATTATCTAGGTATCTGGACATTTATTTTTTTTTCTCTTCAGTGTCTGGATAGGACATGAGGAAGTGCTGTCCTGACATGGTTGAGTGATATTAATATTGATTAGTATTAATGCAATGCTTCATATTAAATGGTTGATGGATCCTTAACATAAATCTTCGTATGACAGGCCATTGTGAAATACTGTGAAAAGTGTTCTGTGGGTTTGTTTAGAATGCTGTTTTCTATAGTTGCAGGATTGGTCTCTAGGTTGATATTTCCCCCTCCTCTCTTGGCTTCTCTTTCCCTTGCCTGCATTGGTTTCCAGATTAGATCAGTTACACGAACAGGGTTGGCAGGCTTGTGTGTTCTATGTTCTGATATAATTGGCAAAAACAATGTACACCTTATTCAAAACTGTGTATCTAAAGACCCATTAGAGTCTGTTGCCTCTTGGAGGTAGATTTTGGGTCATTTGTCAACTTTCCCCACAGGTTTTGGCTTCTGCCTATGAGATGCCCTTGTGTTTGTTTGGATAACACACATTTTTAGAAAGGAATTAAAAATAATATGCCTTTATGTCTTTTTTTTCCCCCCTTCATTTCTGCGGCTGTAGTGAGATACCCTGACAAGAAGCAACTTCATGGGAGGAAGAAGATATTCAGCTCTAGTTTCAGGTGTCAATTCAGCATTGTGGGGAAGTCAACTTAGAACAGGTGGTGGGAATTTAAAATAGCTACCCACATTCACGATCAGGAGCAGAGAGAAACAGGTGCATTCTCGCTTGCTTGTGCTCAGCTCTGCTCTTACGCAGTTCAGGACTCTCCACCTAGGGAGTGGTGCCACCCACAGTGGGTTGGGTCTTCCCATGTTAGCCATGCGACCAACACATCTAACAGCCACATCCTTTATTTTATTCATGATCTTTTCCACTTTTGCATCTGCATAAGTCTTTTTTATGTTTTTAATTCAGGTGACCAGAGACGTGCATCTGTACATATGTCTCTGCAGTCTCGCCAGGACTCAGTTATTTTACTCTCTAGTTTAACAATACTTATTTTTTAAATTATTTTTTAAACCTCTCCTAAATTAATTTGCTTTTCAGATTGGGGGCTCAGTTAATTTAATTTTATTCATTTTTTTATCCTAAAAGGATTAAAATGTAACTATTTCAACACTGACCATTTTGGCCTATCCCAAAGACTTGAAAGTAACAGCTTTAACATCTTGCACATTAAAATTTTATTTGTTAGTTTCTTATTTCTTTTAAGTCAGGAGTTATTTAGGATCATAAGCTCTACAAAAATGCTTTTCATATTATTTTAGGAGAATTATCCACCATAATTAGCTTTCTAGAAGGGGCCCATTTGCTGGGAAACATTGTATTAATGTAACACATTATGGCCAGTTAGAACTACAATGAGACACCCATCTATGCCAGGAAGGTCCCCAGAATCACTTCCTCCCATCCTCTCTGTATATTGAAGAATATGTTAACTTCTGTGTAATGGTTCTAATTTTCTATATGAGTCACTTGAAATAACCATTGCTTTACTCAATGCTGTGTCACTTAAAAATATTAGTCTTCCTTTTTGATTCTTTATTTATTTTGATACAACATTTTGATCTTTGTCCTGTTTTATATTCCATCCATTTATTTTTTAGAAATAAATAAAAATCCTCCACTTTATAAAATTGAAAACATTAATATTAAAAATTAAAAACATTTGCTTATTAAAATGTTTTTCCTGGCCTTTTATTTTCAGTTGTCTTGTGAATACAACTATGATTAATTTTTATATAATCATTCCATCACCTTTAATGTTGTTTCCGGGACACTTGTATTTTTTTAAGGGTTTTGTTTCTTTCTAATTTTTTAAATTATTTTTATGTGCTTCTACTTTGTGTGGTTAAGTTTATATATTCTAGTTTAATTACCTAGTAGCTCTTTGCATTTATAAAAATATCATAAAACCTGTATTTTTATACAGTCAAAATTAAGAAGGAGATCATTTGAATAAGCTCTCTATACCAAGAAAGTAGTAAGATATATTTTTACCCCCCTACTCTCGCTTACGAGATTTAAAGATATAAAATCGAGTTTTTGGTTGAGTAAATCTTTAGATGTTTCACTTGGTCTGGAATTTTTTCTCCTGGGGCTGAAGCCTTGGGCTTGCTTGGCAAGTGGCCTGCACGGACCTGCTCTGCATTTTCATGTTGTTGGTACAGACTGCCTTTAAGAGCACTCAGTGTTTATAACCTGTCCTTTTGTATAACAAAGCTTGTTATTATTATTTTTTGGGGGTATCTTTTTTCTACCTAATGGCAATAAGAATTTGAAGTGTCAATAGAAGAGGCTAATCTTTAAAAAAAAACCTTGTTTTATTTAGTGGTGGTGGTGCTGGTGTGTGTGTGTGTGTGTGTGTGTGTGTGTGTGTGTGTGTGTGTGTGTGTGTATGTGTGTGTGTGTGTGTGTGTGTGTGTGTGTGTGTCTATGGGATGTAGGTGCATGCATGCCATGGCATGCACAGAGGTCAGGGGACAACTTTCTCTTGGTTTTTAGTGTGACGGCAGGGACAGCCAATGCTGCAGCCCCATTCTCTGGTGGGACAGTCGATCTGGCCCATCCCACTTGGACTGAGGAGTTCTCGGGGCAGGGCTCAGTGGGGGCTTCCCTCCCCACTAAAGGCTGGGCCATGGTGCATAGACTTTCTCCTTCACATATCTGTTAGTGATGGGATTCTCGAAAGTTTTCACTAATGGCTTCATATCAAAGCTTTTGTTTGAGTTTCTCTAGGGTGGGCTCCTCCTCAGGAGTTCATGGTGTTGGCTCTGGGCACCCTTGTGTGTCTTCTCACTCCTCATTTATCTCCGTCATTCAGCTTTCCCTCCAAACCCTGGCTCTGTCTTCCACATGGTTCCGTCTCCTTCCCAGACACAGGCTGATGTTTAATTAAGATGGTAAATGTGTTTCCCCTGCTATTCTTCCTGGCCTCACCAGCAACCTCTAAGCTTCCATCACCTAGACTCTCCTGACGGAGATGGTGGATCTCTGAGGAGGCCTGACCCTCCGCCCACCTCCTGGTGAGGCTCGTGCTCACCTTCAGCTGTGGTGCTGGCCTTTCCCCCTGCTCTCATCCTCTCCCACTCCACACAGTTAATTAGCTTCCTCCTCAGAGAAAACTGAAGGCCAGGCCTAAAATCCTGCCCCCTCACAGCCTGGGCCCGGTGGAGCTGGTTTGGGGACAAACAGACCAGAGTGCTGAGGGCGGAGGTGGACTGGGCTCTGGAGAAGCCGGAGTCTGACTGAACTCTGGAGCTCCTGCCATCTCCTCCTTATTCTATCAGAAGCCTGTCTACAGCAGTTGGAGGTTTGCTAGTGAGCACTTGCCCTTTTGTGCATCTTTCCCACCCCCAAACAGCAATCGGGGGACTATTCTAAACCAGGAAGGAGCACACACTGGTTTTCAAAGTGCTTTTACCCAACTCCCACGTACACTATGCCCTGATGATGGTGATGATGACGCTCAGTTACTCAAACCCGTCTTTAGAGCTCAGTTAGGTTCGCGTGTGGCGGTACATGCTCTGCAGCAGTGCGTGCGTGTTATCCCAGCCCTGCAACCGTGCATGGGTGTCATCCCAGCACCTCAACAGTGTGTGTGTATGCGCATGTCATTCCAGGCCTGCAACAGTGCATGCATGAGTGCAATCCTGGCACCATCGCAGTGCCTTGGTGTTATCCCAGCCCATGCAACAGTTCATGCATACAGCCTCAGCCCCGTAAGGCAGGAGGATAAGGAGTGTCAGGCCATCTTCCGACTCATAGTGAGTTTAGCTGGGTTACAGTAGACTTTGTTTCAAAAAACCAAGAAAAAAGATAAAAATAATAATAATGATAATGATAATGATAATAATTTATAGGCACTACAAGGAGCACAATACTAAAGTGAGCTGGCATTCCTGGACACTTTCTCCCTGAGCTGTACTGTAGGAAGAAATGACAGGAGGTGGGTGTGAGTTGTTATAAATTAAGCCTGGTTTGGAAATCACAAAGCTCTGCCGCCCTACATGACTCTTCGTGTCTGTTTCCCAACCTGCCGCAGGAGAAGGCCAGGCTGAGAGATCTCTGCTGTCCTGGTGCCGCTGGCATTGCGGGAACTCTGCCATTGTCAGGGTAAGTGTCCCAAGAACCTCCTCTTTCTCTGCTTCCTTAGGCTCCAGGCAGGAAGGCTGTGTTGCTGAGGGACAGAAAGGGATGAAATGGCGGCGTGGGTGCTTGAGGCTTGGCAGCAGGTGGCGGCACTCTGAAGAGTCAGATCTTCAGTTTATTGGCTGAGGGAGAAGAAGGAGGAGGGGAAGAGGATGGAGAGGGAGAGGAGGAGGGTGAGGAGGAGGGGGAGTGAACAATGGATTTATTGCTAATATCAGATCTGATGACTCCTGATAAGGGGTAATCAGAAATCTTAAAGGGCAGGGGTTACAAAAGAAAGTGTCAGGAGATTTGCGGTGATTATGCAGGCAACAGGGTATTTTCAATCAGTTTAAATTTTTACGAACAACCAAGGCCTTCTCTACCCCTCTATGTATTTAGCTTTGACCTTGATCTGAAGTGGAAATGTAAATATGTACATAGGAAACAATTGCCACTTATCAAGGAAGTTTTTCACAAATCAGAAGCTTATTGATAGCCTTTCCCTTCCTAATGACTGTAAGACCTTGAAGAGACAGTGGATAGGCTACTTACTTAAAATATTATTTTATTTACTTTTGTATAGGGATGTGTGCTGCGGGCCACAGGAACATATCATAAGAACTCAGCTGGTTATAGCAAAGTCACTACCTGGAGGAATCAAGAAATTCCTCCAGAGGAAGCCAAATTCCAAGGAGCTTTTGGTGTTACTTGGCTTGTTATAGATCAGCTGTCTTCTGTTATGAAAATCATGTGTGCCTTCATAGTTTTCCCAATTGATTTTTCCCTAAGAAGTGCTAACAGTGTGGACTGATAACTCTCCGGACATACACATTCCAGGTATTTGGAGAACAGCCTCAGGAAAGGCTTCCTCTGGAATCAGATATCTCCCTTAGCCATATTCAAGGACTAACAGAAATAACAGTCCAGACCATCACATGCTAGTCTCCTGATTTAAGGTAAATTCCACAGGTAGACACTGTCTAGGTCAGGTGGACCTTAAGTAATAGCTTTACACAATTTAGCTCGGACCCTCCTTTCTTACAGCCTTACTAACTTTATAGACCTTTAACTCCTTACCTAACCACATCTAGGAATATTTAGATAACTTTCTGTGCTAATAGCTATGCTCAGCCCAAACCCCAGTTTAAACCTCTCTGTAATTATCACCATTGGCAGCATCCGGCCAGGTCCATCTCCAGACGGAGGAAAGTACCTTATCAGAGATACCTCTGTACTCTCTAAGAACAGACTTAAGAGTCCAGACTACCCATTTGAGAAGGCCTGGCGGATGTGCCAATTAAGCTTAACTTCCTCCTTTCCCAAACCTTTCCTCTGGTTCCAGATCTCCCTTTAACTATCACCAGAGGCATCTAGCTGTGCACAGGCTGCCTAGTGACTGAGCACACTTTCCCCCACCCTGCAGAAAAGACGGTAGATAGCTTGGACAGATAGAAGCCCCAGGAAAAAAGAAGGCAGTTTTATTTTCTCCCATTGACCTAGCAATTTATAGATTCTTAACATTTTCTACCAAACACGTTTAAGACTATAGTTGAGCAATAAGATCCCTCTTCTTAGATATTACCCGAATTTAGCCTTTAGTTAATTCATTTCCCCATTGGTCACTTCCCTTTGGGGTTGCAAATGATAATTAATGGTTATTGCCCCTCTATGTGATTCTTATCACCCCTCCGTTTGACCCCGGAAGTCTGGCTTTGCACTGCCAAGGGAACACTGATTGTAAGTGTATATATACCGGGACTTCCGGGGCACAAGGGGACGGAGAAGAGAAAAGAGGATGGAAGAACTAGATGGGTAAGAACTTGAGAGGAACAAACTGAGATGAGGAAGAACTAGCTTGAAGGGCTAGAACTAGGTTGAGTACTAGAGGAACGAGATGGAAGATGAGGAAGAGCTAGATGGGGAAGAACAAAATGAGGAAGAACAAGACGAGAGAGAAGGAGATGGGAGAGGAGCTGATATGGGAAAGAACTAGATGGATGAAAACCTAGAAGGGGCAGAACTAGATGAAGGAATTAAGATAGAACCTGGAGGGAACAGCAGATAAGTGTAGAGAGAAATCAGGCAAGAAAGGAGCTAAATATGAGAGCAGAATAGAAGCTTGTAACTGACACAGAATAATAAAGTATATGGACTAAGGAGTTTCGTGTACATAGATTCATTTCTTTTCATCAAAGATTAATTATCAGCTGGTTGTAGATTCTTCCCAGACCCTGGGAGGGGACTATAGAGGGGCTGGACCCCCATAGTCCCAGATAGGTGTGTGTGTGTGTGTGTGTGTGTGTGTGTGTGTGTGTGTGTGTGTGTGATCTATGGGGTATAGGCACATGCACACCATGGTGTGTGTGTGTGTGTGTGTATGTGTGATGTCTATGGGGTATAGGCACATGCACACCATGGGGTGTGTGTGTGTGTGTGTGTGTGTGTGTGTGTGTGTGTGTGTGTGTGATGTCTGTGGGGTATAGGCACATGCATGCTGTGGTACGTGTGAGATCAGAGCACAGCTTTCGGAGTTGGTTTTCACCTTCTACCGTGGGCTTCAGGTACTTAACTTAGATCATCAGACTGTAGGGAGAGTGCTTTAACCTTAGGCACTAGCCCTCTGTCCCACATTCTTTCACAATAATTAATTTTATTGATTTTGTTATTTGACAATTTCATACATGTATACATGTGTTCTGACCCCCTCTCCCCATTTCTCTACATTCCTATTGACGCCTCTTATCACTGCCAGTCCTTTTCCCAGAATCACGACTCAATCCTTTTTTTTTCTGACTCATCCAGGGTAACCAGGGCCATCTGTGTGAGCTTGGGTAGAAAGATCCACTGGAGTCCAGTGCAGTCACCAATGGCCAGCCATGTTTCCTCTTCCCCTGAATCTATCAGTAGCAAATAGTCCCGCCATGAGGGGTGCCCCTGGTGTCCCCTCCTGCATCCATGACTGACTGCTGACAGATCCTCTCTTGTGTAGATCTAGGATGGGCACCTGTGGCTGCTATGAGTCCCCGAAATGGTGGAGCCATGCCCTGGAGGTGGCATTTCACGGCCCTTCTCCCTGTCACCTGGCTTTTATGTTCTTCCTGCCCACTCTTCCACAGTGTTCCTGGAGCTCTGAGGGGATGGCATGGATACCTTTAGGAGTGGGGACTCTTCTGTCACTTATTTCTGATACCACACGAAGCTCATGGAGAGAGAGGGATGTCTCTGGTTAAGACTGAGAGTAGTGACAGCTATGTCTATGGGAATAAAAATCAATATTTAGACAGCACTTTGATGCTGAATGGCTATCCTGAACTATGCGTTATGCTTTGTGGAATTGATCTGTGTGGTTGGAAACATCAACTTTCTACCTATTTATCACATATTCCTTTAAAAAAATACAGTTTCTGGCCTTGTATACTTTTTTTCTACAGACAACGGAATGGCAGTGTCTGACTCTTCATGGGTAGATGTAATCCTGTGCTTAAATGTTATTACGTGGAGATTTAGTCTCTTTATTTTCTGTTATTGGTACCTCAGATCTACCCGTGGACATGGTAGGGACTGCTACCTCCCACATACTTATATCCATGTTTCATACCTCATCACATTTCTATCTGAGCTTGAACGTGGAGGGCTTGAACCTAAGGATCTTTTTTAGTCTTGCATTTCTGCTAGGCACATGTCTAGGCCAATAGCTTTTCTTGTCAACTGAAGGAAAACATGAAATCTAGCAAGTTCTGGACAAACACAGAAATTCAGGGTGGAATGCTGGATGTATCTAAAGAACAACACTCAAGGGAAGAAGAGGCAGAAGTAAGACTGGGTGGGAGGTGCCCCTGGGGGGGGGCATCTGCTGCAGCTTGAATGTCCCCAATGTGGGTGCTGTCAACAGGACAGAGTCAAAAGGTGTCACCTTTAAGAGTTACTAGTCTGGCAGCCTCTTTGTGAATGGGATTCAGGCCCTCATCAAGGAAGCTTCAAGCTGCATGTAGCTCCTTGTCCTGACTTCTGCCATGATCATGGAGCAAGAAGCCCTCCTACCCACTTTGTCCACCCTGAACTTGGGCATCCTAGCCTTCAGGACTGTGGAAGTTTATTTCTGTTATTTATGAGACACCCAATCTGTGACATTCTTACAGTAGTTAAAGTAAAGGAACATGGCCTGACAAAGCTCTTCAGGAAGGCGGAGTTGTAAGCCGGTTCTGCCCTTCAGTGGTTCAGTTTGGCCCAGCATGCTTGGCTCTCTATTCAGCCTGTGGCCAGGCTGTGGGGTCACAGATTTCTGCAGCTCAGGCAATTCCAGTTAAGACAGCAGCCCTGCTCAGAAGGAAGACTTGGGTATCAGCACATCGCCATGTGGACTGTATTCTCCCGATTCCTATACCTATCTCTTTGGTGGCATTAAATTATAGAACAACTCTAGCAGTCTACAGGGTGCCACTGGATGAGTGAGGAGTGCTTCAGAATGGTGTCAAGCATCCGTATTACATATTCATATGGAAGATGCTGTAAAACAACACTGCAACATGGGCTGCTGAAAATTTTCAGTCTCATTGCTACACTCAGTGAACACTTCGGGATGGCTCCCCTGTTGACCTCTCTGGACTATGTGAAACATGGAGGAGACAGACAGTTCTCTATCTATCAGAGCACTGTGGAAAGAATTATTGATGAGAACATGCCTAAGTACACAGTAGAACATGTAGCAGAGTTCAGTGAATGTGATCTAGACTGAAAAAGAACAACCAGGCTCTCCAGAAACATGTTGGTGCATCCATTATGTGCTAGGCGTGGGGCCACGCGCCTTCTTCCCTTTGTCCACTGTCTTCGCGCTGTTCATTTGCCGAGTCACCAGGGCCAAGAGCACAAACCGGTGGCTTGGGACAAACGGCGTGGAGTGCCACCACATTCTGGAGGGTGGGGGTCTGAAACGACAGTAGTAGCTCTTTCCTACCCTTCAAGAAACCCAAGAAGGATCTTGC